TGATAAAATAAAAAACAAGTATGATGGAACCCACAAAAGCAATAAATAGACATCCAAAAAAAAGGTGCGTGGACAGCACCAAAAATTTTGATGGCCATAAATAGGCGCGTGCTTGGCAACAGCATGAAAAAGAACTTACATTTTACATGGACCCACAGATTCTTTTCATATCACCATAGACAACAATTAAGATTTGATATCGGTCAAAGGGGCGCGATTGGAAAAAAATATCTCACATTCAAATTGATTGAACTGTGCATAATAAGTTAGAATCCTCAAAAATGTCCCTTATTTTGGGACGGAGGGAGTATTAATCTTGCCATAATGTACGGAATAAGGACTACGGTCCTACCCTCTGTTACCAGTGCCTTAGCACTGAAGATTGGGACAAGGAAGCCGTTTCACAAGTCCTTGACGTTGACTCTCCGAGGAGCTGCCCCTTCAAAATGCCATAGAGGCAACCAACCTAAGCCATTAGAAATGATTTGTGCATGATTTGTTTTGTACGACATCGTTTCTTGTGTCAACAGGGTCACTACTATTGTCACCGGGTCTCCGACTATTAGACCTGTGATCATTGTAGACAACAGAACCTTTAAATAATTTATTTAGTTAAAATTGATTTTGGTGTAATTAAATTAAATAATTACAAGTTCATCAGACTTTGGGCTTACGTTTCTCTTTAAAAAGAAAAAAAAAAAAAAGCCTTTGAGCATACAAGATGGAGGAGGACGAGTAAATTCAAGTTAAAACCAAATCAATTTGTTCGTCAAAGAATTAAATTCAAAGTTCAAGTTCTATATTACAATTTTCTCTGTAGCCCTCGAATTTAATTCAAGTCCAAGTAAAATCAACACCCTATATGAGATTGAAAACTTGTTCGTCAAAGAATGGAGGAACTTACTAAAGATGAACATGGTCAAAGTTGTTCACAATATAAGGTGTGAATATTAAACTTTTTTTTTTTTTTTACTCTCTAACAAATATTTTTCATATTAAATAATACTTGGCAATGTTTACAAAAAATCTGTCCAAAAAAAAAGAAGAAAGTAATTCAAAAAATATCAACATAATTTTGCTATGCTTAGATCATTTTTAAATTATGAGAAATGGTCAAATTTGTCCCTAAACATATTTACTAAAGCTGATTTAATACCCAAACTCTAGTTTTGGTCAATGTGATTTTTAAGGTTAATTTTCCATCCAATTAAATCCTTCTGTAGCAGCAGCACCAGCCAAAATCAATAGGACTCTTAATTTATTAGCCAAACAAGGATGTTTTCGAAACTTTGGGCGTGGGGATACAACAAATTCAAGTCACTCAAAAAAATATTTTGGGGGAAGGGATGTGGTGCGGATTCTGAATTTATCAGCTTTTCATGATTGGAGGGGAGTGGAGAGGATGGTGGGGAGAGAGGGGGCAGCGGGTTGGTGGTAGGAACTGGGGAAGGTGCAGAGGTGAAGGGGTGGTGGAGATGGGAAAAGAGGGCTAATAGGGAGGGTCGAGGTAAGGCAGGAGTGAAAACTAAAATAAGAAATTTTAAAAGTGCCCAAAAAAATTTTTGTAAAATCTTTCAATTCATATGGACCCATTGTTTTTTAATTTACTTGATTTTATTGTAGCCCCATATTTGAAGTTTCCAAAATGCTTTTGTTTAATTGATAAACAGAGGTGCGGTTGACTTTAAGCGGTGGCGCCACCTTAGAGGAAATTAGATGGATTAGAGAATTATGTTTATGGTCTCTAACGGAAGTACCTGTTAAGATATATTTTAGGTGCTAGATTTTAGAAATATAAGATTAATTAAAGAAAGTGTATAAATACAAAAGGATTAAATAGAAAAAATATATAAATGCAAGAGGAAGCAATAATTGTTAGTATACGTATATATATGGTAGATTGGGTGGAATGTACGTGTATTAACAAGTGTCTATTGGGCAGTTGTTAGAAAAACCCCTTGTCCTTAAGGATCACATTGGCCAAAACTAAAATACCTTTAGTAAATATGTTTAGGCAAGAATTTGGCCATTTTCACTTAATTTTATAATGCTTCCTGAATTTTATCACTTGTATCATTCAATATTTTACAATTGCAAATTCGGAAAGAATTTCTACTATTCCAAAATGAAAATTCACTTGCACCATTTAATATTTTACAATTGCAAATTTGGAAAGATTTTTTACAATTTCAAAATGATATTGAGTTGAAGGTAATTAATTTTTTGTTTATTTTGAAAAGTCTACCATACAAAATATATAATTACATTACATGCAGAGTGCAGCAAGGCATTCTGATACAGGAGTTGCAAACTTCAACAAAGAGTTTCAACAAATAATGTACTTATTTACTTTTCTCACCTCTCTTGTTATGTATCTATGATAATATTCTTATCTTTTCATACAGGAGAAAAAGAAAACATGGAAAACTTACAGAAGCACATGCAAACAATGATGACAGTTGCAGCAAATCATTGAAATAAGAAAAGAAAAGAAAAAGATGCTCCTTGCGAAGATCAACAACCTTAGATTTGTCTTGTCTTCAATCTCTACATTGGTTTGGTGCCACATGTCTTGAAATTGAGCTTGTAGAAAGTTCACTTTACAATTGATATTTGCAAATGTCCCTAACGTCACTGAATTTTGAAGTTGTACAACGAACATATTTGTTGGCATATTTAGATGACAAGTTGTTAGATAAAATTAGACTGCTATACCTTAACATCATGAGTACGTCTATTATAATTTTGCGTTGTCTTTCTTTGTGAACTCAGTGACTGAGTCCCGTATTCCTTTATAAAGTTTCTAGTTCCTCATTTAGTTTTGAATGGTGATGGCAACAAATTGGAGTGGTCACCGTTCTACTTTGAATTAGAACCAGATTAATAGTTTGTTGAATTGAAGCCAAAATCAAATTTTAAAAATCGAATCAAAACCATAATCGTAACTAAAGATTTAGATTCAAATTTACCAAAAACTTAAACTGAAATCAAAACTGGCGATTTAGACTCGGGTCAAGTCGTGCAGAAAAAGATACTTGCTATATAAATCTATTTGATTAGTTTAGAATTCAATATCGATAGTCAGCACACAATACTAAGCAGCTCTAATCCTTACCCAACAACCCATTGTCCCATCCCCGTTAGTAAGCCTAGACCCTATAACTAATTTAAGTCCAAAACCAATTTAATCTAATCAATAATGAGGTTTTTTTTTTTTAAATATAAAATTTGCATCATTTTTTCTTTTTCCTTACACACAATAATACAATAAAGTCCTTATTTTTTTTCTATATTCATTGTCATATTTTCGTAGAATCAATTTTATAATAATAATTTTTCAGGCATAAGTAAAAGAATCAAAAGCATATCCGGAAGAAACTTAAATCATAACTGAATAAAACTGGTACCAAAGGTTCAAGAACCATAACCGTAATTGTCCTTATAAGTGTCGGTTCAAGTTTCACCTTTTAGAAGAATTGAAACCATCAATTTTTACATCAGAACTAGCAATTTTGAAATCATGGCCATATCTAACAACAAATTAGAAGAATATTTAATAGTTGTTACAAAATGTTCTTTCCATAATAAAGTTAGTACATTCCATTTGTTACCCTAGTATCACCACAATCTCCAAGGAATATTCATTTGGCAAGGTAGAGGAAATTTTTTTGGGGGTAAAATACACTAAATCTCCTCGGTGATTTGCCTATTATACATGAAACCCCCTTATTATTTAAAAATACCCATATAACCCCTCCATACTTTGGATTTCTTTGGGAAATGGATGGAAATCATCCAATTGAAAGGAAAGATTTAAAATTCCTATACTAACCCTGTTTTCGATCCGTACCAATAGTTCATATATGGTTTAATTGAAATTTTACTAACTTCCTTAATTTATTTGAAAACAAAAAGTAAATTGAGGGTCTAAATTGAAATTATAAAAACATGTCATCCTCTCCAACATCCATTGTTGAGCAGAAGACAAATCTCGTTCCTTCCTTTTTTTTCTTTGTTTCCCTTCATTTTTCATTTTCTATATTTTGCTTTTCCCTTCCATTTTCCTTTTCTTTTCTTCCTTTACTAAATCCAAAATCTTCATCACTAAAATCTACTACACCAACTCACGGAATCTAGCTGGTTCCTGTTGCCCAGAGAATTCCCAAAAATCTGGGCAGTTCCACCGCCAAGTTAGTCTTTATCTTGATACGATAAATCAGCCCAACTTTATTCAGTTTTATCAGCGGTTCGTAGACATTGTTGAATTATTGAATTTTTCTTCGATATTCACTCTTTCCTGTACTTTTCCAGACAGCAATCTAGGTGTTTTGTGTTTTACAAATAAATAAATGTTTCACATGGAAGGACTAACTCATCAACATCAACATCAACATCAACAGAGAGTGATCGTGAAGGTGAATGATCACTTTTGGGTTCTCTTCCCTTATCCCTTGCTAGAGGCTGAAATTAAAGCCCACTTTGATTTGGTATTCTACCCTTAAAACGCGAAACGTTGTCATTTGAGTTGTGCAGTCAATTTTCCATCCTGAAAACGCCAAAAGATGTTATGCTGTGATACTAGCCGCAAGTTGATTTTTCCATAGTTGTACGTGTTGAAAGTCGGTGGCTAAAAAAAAAAAAAGAGTCGGTGGCTAAAGCCTAAAGTTCTCATGCATGAGGACCAACACCGGAAGTATCATTTTCTAGTTTTCAATTCTCCATCACATTTTTGGTTTCGCTTGATATCATATTTTCTTCTTTTTTTTTCTCATCATATTTGTTGGCCGGTAAGCCTAATATAACCGATGCACGTGCAACGTTCTTTCAGGTGAGGAACTAGGTTAAAAAAGGTAGTAACGCGCTCAAAAATTCTATAAATACGAGAACACATAGCGAGACTTAGTAGGTACCAAACTTTTAAAAGTTTCAATTATTTTGTAGTAGCGCCCCTACACTTCCCCGTCCCCCCCCCTCCCCCCAACAAGAAAGAAAAATAAGAAATGGCAACGCAATTTTTAGTGAGACATAAGGAAGCAGAGTTGATTGTCCCTGCAAAACCTACTCCCCGTGAAATAAGACCACTTTCTGATATAGACGATCAAAAGGGCCTCAGATTTCATGTACCCATGATTATGTTTTTTAGCTATAATCAATTCTTGGACGAAAAGAACCCTGTTGGGGTGATTAGGGATGCAGTAGCTAAAGCACTTGTTTATTACTATCCCTATGCCGGCAGGCTCATTGAAGGGCCTTCAGATAAGATTCTTGTCAACTGCACAGCTGAAGGGGTGGTGTTTAGAGAAGCCATTGCAGAGGTTGGGCTCGATCAACTTCGTGACTTCATGCAGCCACCATTTCCTTACTCAAAGGAGTTCTTAGTGGATGCTTCTGACTCTACAGAGATCTTGGACAGTCCATTGATGTTGATTCAGGTGAGCAAAACATTCAGGCTAACTCTGGCCTCTTCATCTTCCAGCCAAACTGTATGCCTTTGTTTGGTTATCTACAAATTGCTATATGACCATCTACGCTTTACAAGTGGTTCTACGTAAAGTTGAAAATAGATGGAAAGTACTTCCAATTGCGGAGATATATATATCCAAACATACTCTAAAAAGGTGTGAGGATAATGTCTTCTAGTATTTTTACATAAATGTTCACTTGAGTCTTGACCCCTTTATAATTTTGCATCTATTTAAAAAATCCGTCTATGACTGTATAGGTGGATGGATCTTTTTTCCATTTAATATTTAAACACCGACGATACTACCATTTCTTTTAATAACAGAAGATTTTTTTCTGCCAAATTTTCACTCTATATCAAAACACAAGGAAGTTTATAGATATTTTGAAACTTTAAAGGAGTTACATGATAGCATAAGAGACTATGGGGTTATTAGTAATTTAAACTCTAAAATAGTGGTAGTTAAGTAGTTATGTAGGACTATGTGAATCTGTCGGAAGATTAATTGAGTAAATATAAGGAAACAATCTAAATACGTGGAGCTATAACATTTTTTCTTCTTATTAGGACAAAAAACTCCACTGACCATTGTATTATTGAAATCTTATACATTAGTCATTCAACTATTTTTTAATTTCAAAATGGCACTGAACGCACAAAGTCGCTATACTAGTGGTTATTCTGTGTAGTTTGCTGTTAATCCTAATAGAATTAGCTGCAAAATGGTAGGTAGATAAAGTTATCATTAAAATGAAGTTTCTCACAATATCCAAGAATTTTTACTTGAAATATCCAATTATACTTTCCAAAATTGCTACTTATTTACAAACTTTACTTGAAAACTTTCTTATTATCATTTTCATTTCTTTTGGGGTCAAAATTCAGGTGACTCGCTTGATCTGTGGTGGACTTGTCCTTGCTATTCGCATAAACCATGCAATTAGTGATGCAGTTGGCTTAGCCCAGTTTCTGAATGCAGTAAGCCAAATATCCAAAGATCCATCATCAGCACCTTCTCCATTACCTGTGTGGCAAAGATGGCTCTTAAGTGCAAGAAATCCACCATACGTCACATGTGTGCATAATGAGTTCGAGGTGGAAGAAAACAGTAATAGTAGCACTGAGCCTACAATATTGGACTCCCCTCTCAACCTTGTACGCAAATGCTTCTTTTTTGGAGCACAAGAGATAAAAGCCATCCAGAAATACCTACCACCAAACATTCCTTATGCAACAAAATTTGATCTCGTAACTGCGCTTGTATGGAGATCAAGAACAATAGCCTTACAATTGGATCCTGAAGAAATCGTTACTCTTACCCATGCAGTCAATGTTCGTGGTAAAAATAAACCAAAGTTGCCTAGTGGTTATTATGGCAATGGATTTGTCTCTTCCGCTGCAGTCTCAAAGGTCAACCAGTTGTGCAACAATTCATTTGTCTATGCATTAGAGCTAGTGAAGAAAGCAAAACATCAAGTAACTGAGGACTTCATCGAGTCAGCCATTGACTATAGTGTTTTGCATGGAAAACCAGGGTATTCTACGTTGTTGAAGGATTGGATTGTTTCGGATGCATCAAGAACTGGAATTGACGAGGTAGATTTTGGCTGGGGAAAGCCAATTTATGGCGGAATTATGGATGGAGGGCCAACTTTTAATATGGCAGTTTATTCGCGACTTCGAAATACCCAAGGAGATGATAGTTTGGTCGTTCCAGTGTGCTTGCCTGTTGCAGCCATGGAAAACTTTCAGAAGGAGATGGAGAAAATGATCAAGGTGCCAATGTACGGATGCAACAAATTTTGGCATCCAAAGATTATATCTATGCTTTAAAGCAATAATATAATCTTAGTTGTGGTTTTACTCATTTTATTATTTCGACTTTTGTGCTGCTGTGCATATTGCTCTTGTAATGCAAACCTTCTGCTTTTGTATTTTCTCTTGCTTTATCAAAAAAGATATACAGTTTGCCTAAAAAAAATAAAATCATTATCTGGGTCTTTTCGGGAATTATATGTCTGCTTGACTTTATCGAAAATTTTGAATTTTGAATCCTTTTTCTTTTTGGGTTTCAGTTAGCAACAATAAATTTTTATAATAAAATCGAGTGAGACGAACTGGTGTACACCAAAGTATGAAATTCCGGTTCATGCTCAAGAATAATCCGATTACAAATCAAGCAATTTCACGACTGAAGTATACTACCACTTGTATACATCAAGATTTTTGTACCTTTGAAATTACATTTTCTCCAAATGACAAAAACTAAAGGATAATCTATCTTTCTAATGTTAGAGATTCCTTTGTTTGTCTTTATTGCTTAAAAATGTTGTAACTTTCAATCGCTTTATCTAGGTGGTCTCTTTTTTGATATAGTATTGCAGTGGTATTCTTTTCTTTAAAAAAAATCTTTAATTTAATGGCTGTTCACTTGGTTTATTTCTGAAATAGGTTGGATCATCATCTAAGCTTAGCGTTACTATATATATATATATATATGTGTGTGTGTGTGTGTGTGTATAAAAGAAACGAAGCCGATTATGCTAGCAAATCTATTCAAGGCTGACAATTCATCAATAATCAACATGGAAATAATCTGCTATATCACAAGGAGTTAATCAACTGCGGCAAATGAAGGTCACATAGTGGTTTGATTGGCAATTGATCTTCGAAAATCGACAATTAGGAATGCATCGGTAGTGACTCCAATTTAAAGCTGGCGGGTGTGAGTATTAAAGGTTCCATGAGAGATCGATAATGAAGACCAATATTTACATACTAATCGATGCGTGCAAAGGCATATTGGCCCATGTTCATTGATGCGAGTGAGTGCCGATGCAAAAGGAGCTGACACAGTAGATCATGTATTGATAAAGGGAGAGGTAACGATGGCAATTGGTCAGGGAAATGATGTGTGCATTAGCTTATGTCCCTACAAATTAAGCATGAGGTAGTTACATGATCCCAACATATGAGAGTGGACAGTTACCACTACCCATGTTTGAAGACCAATATGACTAGCATGGAGCATAATGTGGGCATTAACGGAGTTAAACTGCTGATTTTGAAAGGAAATTACGCATCTATAAACACTCAAATATGTATATCAGATCGGGAACAATCTTTTCACTTCACAAAGACATGACAAATAGGATGTTTCTTTACTTTTAAACAGCTTTCTTAGAAATCATAGGCTAGAATTAGGATTTCCAAAACTTTCTTAGAAGCATTAGGTTAATTTCTAGGATTTCTAAATTTTCATCTAATCATTTTGTTTTTATTTCATATTTCCAACAGTTTCATGTTTGTCTTTGTACAAATCAGCAAGGCCTGTTTCAAAGTTCTTTCCATTTCCAAGCAATCTTCATGAGTTTTCTAGCACATTTTATGTTTTATAATTTATCAGCTTTAGCCATCGGTCATTGTCAATGTATTCTTTCCTTCTTAATTGGTTACTCTTAGCACGAATTTTTAAGTCCTTGAGGTTGCTCAAGGTGGGACAAATGGCAATTGTCCTAGAAGTTAGCATAATCGATGCAATGTTATTTCCACCAAATTGATTTATTCATAAGGTTTTCCTTGCACAAATTAAGTGACATGCTAGCAACCATCACTTAATGAGCAACAGTTTGTAGATCGGTAAAAATCGGCACAAATATAGTGGCATGCTTGGCATGCTTGGTGGGTCTGTAGGAGTGATCAATAAAGAAGCTATTTCGATGAAACAACTCCATCAACATCAGTCATTGATAATTCAAAGACTGAAGCATAGCTAGTCAGCGCCTAGGCGGGCCATCATGCCGAGGTCCGAGGTCCAAAATAGACACGTTGTTCACAATGCAAAACCCTAACAAATTTACCTCATCACTACATTTCCCTTCAACCACACATTACCTTCTAGATTTGACCAGCCGGTAGGGAAAAAAAAAAGGGACCAATGTCTTGCCCTCTCGCGATATCTGGTAGATGCTATCCTACCCCACTTATTCCTTTTGATTATTGTGAATTGTGAAAACATTTATCTTCTTTTATTAAAGTGTTTTATTCCATCTAGAACTCTTTAGTCTCTATTCCATTTTCTTATCCCACCTACTCCGATTAGAAGAGATTTGGTTAATAGTATTTTTGGAACCTGGAACTCTCTTTTGTTTTTTATCAAAAAGAAAGAAAGAAAGCTTTTAATATTTTTATCAAAGTTTTTTTTTTACTTTTTGATCTAAATGTGCCTAGAAGTCTTTGCCCCATTGTTTCATTTTATTTTATTTTAAAGGTTTCTAATATATCTTAATATGTTTTCTTACCAAATAGGATCATATGCTTGAGCAACCGCATGCCCATTCTCAAGTCTACCTGCAAAAGATGCATAAATTCCATCGTAGACAACAAGAAATGTGACAAGGAGGAGATAGGAGAAAAGACGAGCAACACTAATGGCGAGTCTTCTGGAAATATCCAAGCCTAATGCTGCGGAGGGAAGTCTCTACCAAACCTGAGAATTCCTCAATATTATTGCTAGAGAAAGTCCCTACCAAATCTAAAAAGTCATAAAAGAAATTTTCTGCTTAATTTGAAAAGCTGAAGGAAGAGGTCAGAGATGACCATGGTGTACAATAACCATCCGAGATCTGATCATACCCAAAAACTTGTCCATCAATCCATAATAAAATATTATCGGGGTTTCCAATGAAATTTCAACCCAAGTTTGAGCTCCAAAATGGACAGTTATTCACAGCATAAAACCCTAACAAATTTACTGATCCCTACATTTCTTTTTAACCACATCTCACCTTCTAGATTTGACCTACTAGTAGGAAAGGAAGAAGGGGCATATGTCTCACCTGCCGATTCTAACGATTGTTGCTATCAGGTAAATGCTATCCTACCCTACTTACTCCCTTCGATTATTGTGTACTATGAAAAGCATTTATCTTCTTCTATTAAAGTGTTTTGACCTATCTAGGATCTCTAGTGTCTACTCCATTACCATATCCCACCTAATCCAATTATTGAGAAAAGCTTTTATTATAAGTATTTTTAGGATCTAGAACTCTATTCTAATATGCATTTTTATCTAGAAAAGAATCTTTTTATCTTTTTATTAAAGTTTTCTAGTTACTAATCTAATGGTGTCTAGAAGTCTCTACTCCATTGTTTCATTTTATTTTAGTTTAAAGATTTTTAATATATGGTAATATGTTTTCTTACCAAATAAGACCATGAGTGATAAGTGACTATTTTGAACTACATTAAAATGGTATTTTATGTTATTTTCAGTCACTTTTGCAATGCTATAAGATGGAAATGGATTATTTTGGCTATAATTAGTTTAAAATGCTCTTAAGTGTTTAAATGAGGTTTATATCACATTTCACTTGCACTTTGTCCGTAATTTTTTATAGGAGTTAGAAATAGACTTCATTTGGATGAAAAAGAAAAGTTGACAGCTTTGACACATTTTTGAATCTTGGCTGTAACTTGAGATACAATGATCGGATTGAAATAACTATTGAACCACTTTGAAGATAAGAGATAGATCTACAATTCCTATGAAGACATCGAAATCCAATTTAAAGGTTTTCTAGGACAAAAAGCTAAATTACAGTAGCCAACAAGGCATTGAGCAGTTAAGGGTATTTCAATCATTTTGTAGCCTACACAAATCCAAATGAGGTCATTCTTGATGCATTGGAAAGCTAACCCAAAGGGATACAAGCGCTATGTTTTGGTCAACAGTTAATTCGGCCTCTATCATCAAGAAACTTTCAGTTGAATTTGATGCAAAATTGGAACAACATTGAAGACTGAACAGAAATTGAGAAGCAAAGTAGGGGAGCAATCCGACTAACAATCTAGCCAGTTTTTGGATGGATATTTGGCCGGATTTTGGTCTGAAATTACGGCTCTCTACTTGCACAACTTGTTTTCTCCTCCTATAATTCACAGTTATTGATGGATGTGTGACAACTATTTTGCAGTTGTAAAAGTGATGTTTGCAGCCTCATTTTTTGACTAAATTTATCTATAAATAGCTATGGAGTTGTAAGAATCAAGAGAGCTTGGAGAGTGCAAGAAATACTACTAAAATGTAGCTCTTACATTTTCTTAGTGTTAGGTTAGGATGGTATAGGATAGTTTAACTAGTTAGTTTATTTTTCTTGTTTATTAGTTAGGCAAAGATGAAGATGGAGGAGATGAACTCATGTGACAAGAGTTACATTTCTTTCCAAACTGTTTAACTTTTGTATTTGATTCTATTATTTAGTTATTATATAAGTTTGGATTTTATATTTATCGTGTCTTTCTGAAATTTATGCATTGGGTTTTGGTTGAACTTCCTATGGTTGTATTGTGTTAATTTCTTAGCTATTTTATGCTTTTATTTTGAGCAAGTTATTAGCACTTTTGCTCTCCTAAATTATGATTAACTTGGTACAATTAATTGTGATTAACTAAAGGTGGTATTTTTCTAATGAAAATTGGGATTTAACACTAGTTCAAAAAGTTCTAAAGCTAGGGAGTATACTCATGAGAACAGAGATGCACCTTTGTGGCTTTAGTGATTCATTTCATGTAATTTCATAGACGTAATTAACTTGTAACTAATTTTATTACTACGAGAGTAGGTATGGATTAGTTATAAGTATAGTTGATTTACTACGAAAGTAGGTTTCATATGTATGAGGAAATTGATAAGAGTATATTTTACGTATTTTTAATGTGCTTTATTGGTTAGTTTTGGTGTATTTTATTTAGTTTTATAAATAATTAACTAAGATTCTAGTGAAAATATGTATTTTGTAGTTAAAGTGTGAAAATTACATTTCTATGAATTT